CCTACTACTCCTACTACTCCTACNNAGTACTACTAGTACTACTGGTACTACTAGTACTACTAGTACTACTAGTACTACTACTACTACTACTACTACTACTACTACTACTGCTACTACTCCTACACCACTACTAGACTAGTACCCTACTACACTACTGCACTACCACACTACTACAGTACTGCAAGACCACACTACTACAACTACGACACTAGTACACCACTACACTACTACTCCTCCTAGTCCACTCCTACTCCTACTCCTACTCCTACTCCTACTCCTACTCCTACTCCTACTCCTACTCCTACTCCTACTCCTACTCCTACTCCTACTCCTACTGCTGCTCCTACTCCTACTCCTACTCCTACTCCTACTCGTGCTTCTACTGCTACTGCCACTTCGGCTGCTACTGCTACTTCCGCTGCAACTGCTATTGCTGCTGCTACATCTCCTGCTGCTGCTCTTCCTGCTACTGCTACTGCTACTGCCACCGCGTCTGCGACTGCGACTGCCACTGCTACTCCTGCTCCTACTCCTACTGGTAGTGCTACTGCCACTGCTGCCGCTGCTACTGCTATTGCGACTGTTTTTGCTACTGCTGCTGCTACTGCTACTGCTACTGCTGCTGCTACTGCTACTGCTACTGCTACTGCTAGTGCTACTGCTACTCCTACTCCTACTCCTACTCCTACTCCTACTCCTACTCCTCCTCCTACTCCTACCCCTACCCCTCCTCCTACTCCTACTCCTACTCCTACTCCTACTCCTACTCCTACTCCTACTCCTACTCCTACTCCTACTCCTACTCCTCCTACTCCTTCTACTCCTACTCCTACTCCTCTCCTACTCCTACTCCTACTCCTACTCCTACTCCTGCTCCTACTCCTACTCCTACTCCTACTCCTACTCCTACTCCTACTCCTACTCCTACTACTACCGCTCCCGCTGCTGCTACTGCTACTGCTACTGCTGCTACTACTACTACTACTACTACTACTACTACTACTACTACTACCACTACTACTGCCACAACCACTACCAGTAGCACTACCACGACCACGACCACTACCACGACCACTACGACCGCCACTACTCCTACCACTACTGCTACTGGCATTGAAGCTATTGCGGCAATTCATACTGCTACTAGAGCTTCATGATCAAGGAAAAAGTTCATCGCAAAACTGCAACACCATCCAACTCTAATTTCTGTTGCTCTGGCTAGTACAAAGCTCCTCCGCGAGGTGCCGCACGCAGAGGCAGCCCTGTCGGCAAGACTTCAGGTTCAGGGTTTGATGTGGCTTACGAATCCCGAATCTCTGAACCCAAAAACTCGAGCGCCCCAGCTGCTTAACCCTACCCTGAACCCTACATCTCCACTTGTACCAAACTTAATCCCAACCAAAATCCCAACTCCACTGCTCCCCTCTCACGATTTCTGGATCAGATGTTTAGAAACGATTCTCCCAGCTGGATCTTCGAGGGCCAGCACCCAGGGTTCTTTCAAGGGTTTCTAGACCGGCACTGATACGACTTGGTGTAGGCTTGTGGGGTGACTTAGAGATGCCGATTGAGGTTCAACCCTGAACCCCGAAACCTAAACTCCCAAACCCTGAGTCTTACACCCGAAATCCTCATCTTCAAATCCTAAGCGTTTAGATCGAATGGTTGATTAGCGCCTTCATGGACACGGTGTGGTTCAAGGATGTCACGCACCTTGGCGACGACTTTATTGCAGGGCCTTAGAGTCTTTAGAGATTTGTAGGGTTTTATGAAGGGTGCTAGCGGGTTTTACAGGTTCTGTAGGGCTCTGGCAAGGTCCTATCAGAGTCCTTCATGGGTGCGACGAGCAGGCTTACGCCAAGCCTGCCTTTAGAGTCTCACACGGTCTCATACCGAAGGTGAAACCTACATGCTCTCGGGTGCAAGGCTGAGGGTTGTGGGATGTACATCGCTAGGAATATAGTTTCGTCGCACTTGCCTATACCATCGTGCGGAAGACGTGGAGTACCGACAAGTGCAGTTTACGTGGCCTGGCTAGCGGCGGGACAAACTCACCGGAATAAAATTCTACTACCAAAATGTTCCGGACGAATGACTCAGTGGAGGAGTCTACAAGGTGTTCCAGAGCAACATGCAGGAGTGCAACGAACTTTCGTCCTACCGCAGTTATGATGTAACCCTAAACCGTAAACCCTAAANNAACCCTAAACCCTAAAGGCTGTAGGGTATAAAGGCTTAGCGTTGGGGATTTGGGGTGCTACATTGTTAGAGCTTCCTCTGGGGGCTTGGAAGAGGGGTTTTTGGTATATGGCACGATAGCACAAATGAGGAATCCAAAGAAAGAAGAGGCTCAGGGTTGAGGTTTAGGGTTTAGGG